TTTTCAGTTTTGGGATCGAGGCCTCGAGTCTTTTTGTCGTCGATCTTGCCCTGGCCTAGTAAAATATTTTAAAATCCCCTCAGGGGGGTGGGAAAATGAGAAACGGAGTGTACATACAGTACACAGTAGTAACAGGGTGCTCAGTTTCGGGGGCCCCTTGAGCTAGGTGCACGGTAACTGCTTCGCTCCCTTCATGATCTGGACTTCTTTCATCCCCCCCCCCTTTCCTGTTGAATTTATTTGTATCCAGGTTCATGTAAAACTTTGAACCCAATTAATAATGGAACACACCTGTCTTGTTTCCTCATAGACAACCGTGAACCCCCAAAAAAGCAACGCACTCAAGGACCCCCCCCCCAAAAAAAAAAACAACACACGCCAAAGCTGTTCATTTATTCTTTTTCTTATTCCTTTTTTCTCAATTAGTACATGTATCACAGCACGCACGTTAAACCCAAGTGTCAAAAAAATACCCCCATCCCCTCCCCTCGGTCGTCCCACACTGGGCTAAGTCTCGAAAAACCACATTGACCAACACGACCAGTGTGAATGAACTTCGTTGACCTCGACAACCGACGGTCCCCAACACACGCGCTACTCATGTCACGTGATGCGAACGCAAGCGTTTAAAAGTTTCACTGAGAGGTCTTGAAGAAGGGTCCAGAACCCGGACAAAGCTTTCTTTTAAAGCAACGAACAATGAATAGATTATTTTTAGGCCTATATCATAATTGTTACAGTAATCAGATGGTCAACAGATGAGGTGCAGGATTCATCGTCATCTTCAGCAACAAAGGACTACCTACAATCAGGCAATCATTGTAGAATTCTGGGTAACAAAAGCAAAAGAATTCCAGGACATGAAGGGAGCGAAGCATTTACCCTGCACTTAGCTTAAGGGGCCCCCGAGACTAAGCACCCGGTTACCCCAGTTACCGTGTACGTAGATCCTGAGACTGTAGACAGTCCGTAGGAGAAAATCTTACTCCCGGGTATAATGGCAGCCTAAAAGTTAAATAACATATTCGGTAGACCTTCTTAGCGCATCAAAGTTTTATTTTTATCTGAAAAAGAGAGCGAGATGCCCCCCTGGCAAAAATAATTATTAATTATTAGTCTAGGAAGAGGCTAGCCGTACTTATTCTTAATATGATGGCTAGACTCACCATTTACAAAAAATAGGCCTACTGAATTGTAAATATACATTTTTAGTGTGCAGTACCTAAAGTATTTGTAATTGAAAATTTGTATTTGAGACGAAACCAGGTGCCTTAATTGCTTAATGACAGTGCATGTATTTTAAACCTCCTGTTTTCTAATGTTAATAGGGCCTAAGATAAGTACGGCTAGACTGCCAGTCTAGCCGTACTTAAGTACGGGTAGACAGCCACAGCCAGGCTAGCCGTACTTAATTAAGGACGGCCAGACTGTCTGTCTAGTCGTACTTTTTGATGGCTGAATTGTAAATTAAATTTTTAGTTTGCAATGCCTAAAGTATTTGTATTTCAGACAAAACCAAAAGGTGCCTTACTGACTTGCATGTATTTGAACCTGAATAATTACTAGATCTAGATCTAGATTAGATCTAATAGACCTGTGTACTTAACAGGCTTGAGTCGATAGGGCCTAGACTAGCAGTACTGTCGCCACTGTACGTGCTTACCATAAATGGAGTTAATGACTGAGAGAGGCTTCGTCTTCCAGTCTTCTATGCCAGGCATTTTGACTTCAGTCTTCGTTGGAATGAGCTTGACTAGAATCTAGATCTAGGCCTATCGTTTGTTCGTCTGTGTCTCCGATTCATAAACATACACAGTACACAGGAGCCCAAACACAGCAGACAGTGTGGGCTGACGACAGGGGGTTGACAGACGAACGACTCCAACTCCAAGTCAGTGTTATGATTTTACTTTTCTCAATTCAACTATCAACACGCAACTAGATCTAGAAATCAAGATCCAGATCTAATCTAGATCTAGATCTTGATTCAGATTTATAAATTATTAGATCTTAGATCTACTTGCAGACTTGCAGGCCCCAAGAGTTCACGCAAACACACACACAAAGTAGTGTCACAAAGTAAAGAAGAGCAAGGAAAGTAAATTCCGCGTTAATCTAAAAATAGAGTTTGGCGGGAAATTGGGTGCAACTTTTAATTTTCTAACCATCTATTGCATGGAATTGTAATTGTAAATTTTATAAAGTTGAAATCATGTATTTATAGATATTGTGACATGTTTTTTAAAGTATTGCAGATTTAAATGTATTACAAGTATTATACAGGTTATAAGTTTTGATTTGCTTCGAAAAATACTAAAATATCTGAGCAAAATTACGAGTTCCTGAACCAGAAACATCTCTTCCTTAACACCGTAAAATAAAATGTGGAATCAATGCAACAGGTACGTTTTGTATCCAGTACTCTTATCAGCAACAAGCGGCAGTTTATTTTCTTTTGTTTGTGCCCACTGGGCTTTATTAATGGAGGGGGTTTGGCAATCTCACGTCTCTCACTGTCTTTGAGGGAGCTCGAACGAACCAAACCTCTTTCTAAAAGATTTCTTTTATCCTTTATACGGCACAAAACGAGAAATTGTTGTGGCTTATGATACGGTGTGTGTGGTTGGTACAAGTTGGTACGAGCCGATCGCTTGCTTTTCAGTTGCATTAGAATGGCAGTGGATGCTGTGACGGAGCCAGAGTTCGGAGGTAAGCTCTACTAGATCTAGATCTAGAACCTAGAGGCTCTAAATCTAATATAGATCTCGATTTAGATCTCTAGATCATCTAGATCTAGATTAGTTTAGATTGGCCCCATATGAGTAAGGTGGGATAAAAAAACGGATAAAAAATAGGCACTATTTCTCCGAACGTTCGGGAAAATAAAGCTAGGGGCACTATTTCTCCAAACACTCTGAAATCTCATCCTTTCTCGCAAATTTCGGATATTATATAGATATAGATCTATAATTATAGTATAGGCCTACCAAAGTCAAAGATTGTTCGTATACAATATGGTTCAAGCTGTCCAAAAAATGTCCTCAGTAAATATTTATAAAGAAATGCTACAGTTCCAAACAGTTTTTCGCTACGGCTACAGATATGGCGTGTTGCCTATGAAGGGTACTGCTCTTAAACGTTATGTGTTGTGTTCACTCGTGTGCTGTCTAGATCTAGATCTACGGAGGGTTATTGATAACGACACATAGAACTGGCATCTGCGTTTGTCACTGCTGCGACCAATGTACTGACACTGGCAAAGCCCCCTTAGTGTGTGTGATTCCATAATTTACATGTAATATCCTGTACTTAAAAAAAAAAAAATTACGCACATTTAGGGTTAAAACAGCCAATCTTCTTCGGACAGGTGGACACTCGCCCTTATTTGTAAATGTTTGTTGTTGTTTATGGGCTGTTCTAATTTTGATTTCTTTCTGTTGTGAAACCTTTCTTTTTCACGTTTTTACACTCATCTAAAAATCTCTAGACTAGCTCTTGAAAATTGAAATTATATAGACCCAAAATTTGCTCCTGTGTGTGTGTGCGTGTATGTATGTGCGTGTGTGAGTGTGTCTGTGTGTGGTAGTAAGTGGAGAGTGAGGAGTGTGTGTGTGTGTGTGTGTGTGTGTGTGTGTGTGTGTGTGTGTGTGTTTGTTTTTCGGGCTTTATTTCAGCCTTTATTCAGTAACAGTTCAAAGTATACAAAATAGAAACACAGGATCCATTCACTCCGGGGCTCATGAGTCATTCGTCTCTTTCAGTTTCACTCATTCATTCAATTCCCGTGTTCTCTCCCACGGCTCATCCCTGTCCGCATGACTTTCATACCCCACCCCCTCTCTCCAGGCACACACAAAGAAAATCTCACTCATTCCCTTGCACCCTGCGAATCATGGACAATACTATAGGCAAAACACTGCCTGAGCTGCATTCCTTTCTTTCGTGAGCTGTGGACCAGGCCAGTGGGGTCGGTGTCGTCGTCTTGTAGTTGCTGTCGCCTGTGGATACACTCGCACATTTTTCCTTTCACCCGCTCTTTCACTCACACTGTCTCTCCATCCACAGCTCAGTTGGTCATACGTTCAAAAGTTGCCCACTGGTCATGTTTAGTTAGTGTGTGTACATGTGCATGATGGTGGTGTGTGTGTGGTGGGTGTTACTGAAGGTTGTCTGTAGGCGGGCTTGCCATGCGGTGTTCCTTCCCAGATCAGAGGCAGAATGAAAGTTGGCGCCGAACTCTCGCAATAAATAGGCAAAAAATCACGAGACCGGAAGCCGGAAACCGTTCGGAGAAATAAAGATCAGCACTATTTCTCCGAACGTTCGGAGAAAGTCACTTCGTAAAAAATACAAAGTGGCTATACGATGATGCGTTCGGCTCTCCAGTACGCATAGAATTGAAGCTATATATGTACTATGTGTACGGCCCTCCACTTCACTATATCCTATAATAAGCTAAGCTTTGTGGGCGGCACATTGATTATAAACTATCAAAGCGGATAAACTTCAACCCTGGAAGCCCGCAGGCTCTTTATAAAGGGCGTGAGCCGGGGTACCCGGGAAGCGCGTAGGCCCTATATATAATTTATAATATAGGGATGACCTACTTCGATTGGGAATCGCGCAGCTATAAAGGGCATAGATGCTGACCTTTTTTCAATGAAAAATTTCTGCATTCCTTATAGCCTATGGAAAATGACAGTAAATTAAGGTGTCCGCGAAAGTCCACACATTGGTTCAAATGACGCTGCAGTTTTTGTTTTGAAGCTCTCTTTTGTTTCACCAGAAGAAGAATAGAAATAATACAGTTTGTTAGTTTCGCTTTTATTATATATTTTCACACAAGTAGGGTAACTCTGATCGCAAAGTCCGTTTAATTGGCTCATTTATAGAGGAGTGAACTATCTTGTTATTTATACACATGTAAACGATCTTTGTCTTGGCCAAGATATTGACAATCGATAAAGTGACGCAGTCCAGCTGAACGATTATCAAGGCCATGAGCGTACGTCTACTTCTATCTAAATCTAAGAGCATTATGTAGCTAGGGCCATACGCATAGTCACAAGGCTATACGGGAGGGAGGGCTGTCATACCTATAAGGCTATGCGTACGAGAGGGACATGCGCATGTGCATAGCCACAGGCTAAAATATATGGTGGGGGTTTTCAGGGGGGCATGAATTTTACCATAATTTGATGTTTTGCAGTTGTTAGGTTTGATCTTAGCTCGCCGCGCATCAAACATATACATCTCAATGTAGATCTAGGCTCAAATTTGCGGGGTGGGAACTACCGAAAAAGCACCGACTTATATTATTGACATTCATTACAAATTTAGAGAGATGTTATAGCCAGTTATAGGCTTCTATTTTTATATTAAAAAAAAAATCTAGATCTAGATCTTGATATAGAGATCTAATTTAGATCTAGAGAACGAAGTGACTATTCGGACTCGAGACTCGAGTCCGAATAGACAAAAATTATATTCGGACTCTGAATTGAGTCTAGCATGACGTCTGTTCCGACTTCCAGCCCTTGTTCCTAAATATTTCCAGCATTTATTTACAAACATTTTTTTTATTATAATGATTACAGTCGAGACATGAGCTTTACTATCCCGTTACTAGATTTAGTATCATGAACAGAATGATGAAGTTGAGCTGACCTTGCCAGAGGCTAAGTAATAATGTCGACCAATGAGATTGCGCGTAGCGATCACGCACTCTCGGCTTGCTGGGGGAAGAGGTGTTGGGAAGAGACTGCGGCTGTCAATTTTGTGCGATTTGATTTTTCAAAAAATTGAATTACAGAAAAGCTATAACACACAACAAAATGAAATTAAACATGGAAAGACAAATGGCGGTGGGAGTAATGATGATGTTGTAGTGGTGGTGGAAAGACCCTGAGTTGTCGGTTATCGTGTACTTAGACACTGCCATTGGGCAAATAGTCTTTTGACTTTTGCCACAATTACAGTCCTAGTAGGTAATTCTAGTTCTAAGTCTTACACGTAAAATCTCCATGCAACAGTAATATTATGTAACCTCCTTACACTCACTTAATTCACTTAGAAGCAGAGTCCAAATAAAAAACCCCCATTCTTTTCGGACCCGAGTCCGAATAGAGCTGGCCTTTACATTTAGTTTGGGTTGTTTATATCCTATGACTGGCGGTGAGACAGTTCAAAATAACTGTTTTATCATCTGATTCCAACTGTTTGAAGATGTATCAACCATCTACTATTGCTTTTATGTCACATTTGTTCATTTATATATACATTACACATTTTTACTCCGTCATTTCATGCACTGTTTTCTTAAATCTTTGTCCAGAGAAACGTGTGCATCACATCGCTGCATTATGTCTTGGAATCTTCTGTATTGTGGTTGGTGTTCCTCTGTGGTGGAAGACAACAGAGGTATATCGTGTGAGCTTACCGTACTCTGATATTCAGCATTTGTCTGACACCAAGGTACGTCCATTTTTATTTTAAATAGAAGTTTGTCTCTGTAAAATTCAGGGCAGTTTTCAAATTAAGTAAGATTTGATTTTACTGTAATATATGACTTCTAGTTCCCTGAAGATGATTTTTGTCTTTGATTTGATTTAAGACTAAGTTTTCAAATGACTTTCAAACTTGCTAAGTAGATGATTTTACAAGGAGAGATAGGCTACAGTGAACTGGGTTTGTGGATGAACAAAGAGGGGAGATGAATTTGGCTGTCTTTTATCATTACAGCCATGTATTGTTGTTATATAAGTGATCTGATTTTGTTATCTGACTGGAACCTGTTTTGCTATTGTGGTACATAATATTTGATGTAAGAAGTGCACTCCTAGTTAACAACATCAACCTTTCCTTTTTTTTAAATTCAAGAATTTTATAGGAGGAATGGCACTTTTGGTGTCAGTTTTAATCAGTGACTTTATTGTCTTTATTTCAGATTGAATATTTAACCCAGGTGGAAGTAGTTTGGGCAGTTAATAAAGATGTTGGCAGTGTTTTTTTGTCTGACCTTGCAGTTCAGTTGAATCGGCAGTTAGGTGAGTTATATAATGACTCTTGTTCTGAGGTCTTTGTGGGAAGGGAAAAGAACAAAATGAGATCCTTCAATTGGAGTGCTTGTGTAATTCCCTTAATTAGAATTTAACTTCCATGTTGTTAAAATATGGCCCACTGTCCTGACTGCATGGTTGTTTTAGCTATAAATATTTAAAAAAGAAGTCTTGGATGGAGAAAGGTAAAAAGTAATAAGGTCCCTGAAATTTTGTTTTCAAGGACTCTTTTTGAATTATTGGCCAGTAAGAAGTTTGATATGGATAAAGCTTTATAGGCTGCAGGAACAGATGGAGAATGGAAATGTGTTCTGTTGTAGGGTTTGATTGTGTGCTTGATCAGCAGCATCCTAGATGAGTGAGAGGTCGTTGGACTTGTGATAAGGAAGTTGTGAGTTCAATTCCTGGCTCTGTCGGGTAGGATGTTGCTTCCTACAGAAAGGTACTTTACATTTGTTTCCCTCAGTTCACAATGCTGCAAACAGCAGCTGATAGACGGAATATGTGAATAATAGTGACATGAGCCCAACGGATTGTAGCACTGTATGCCTTGCGAGGACCAAAATGGTAAATTGAAATGAACTGACCAGCTGAGGGAGATTTTGTGAAACGTATAATAACACTTCAATGAATAAGCTTGTTGATGCTTTGACTTTTTGTATGCATAAAGAAAGATCATATTTGTTATTTATATATATAGTTATGGAATGAGGAGACATTAGACAGGTTCTTACCTTAAAAAATATAAGAATTTTATATTATACAATAGTCTCTGCCTAAGGTCCCCCCCGCTTATAGTTCCGGTTCGTCTAAGATCCTGCTGTTTTGGAAAAACATAATTTTTACTCTATAAAAGTCACCCGTAAGATCCTGCTCTGATCTGCACTGAAGGAGCTACATTTGGCTAAGATCCTGCTTTTCAGGTCATAATTTTGTTGTTTTGTTTTTGTTTGTTTAAAAAAAAAAGAAAAGAAACCTGGACCGCTCAGCTGATGAACCAAGTAGCGAAAATGTGCAATCACTGTACAGTCCATCGCGTAACGGATCATCCACTCTCATGAATGCAATCACACCTCTGTTGTAAATCTCGATAAGCGGTTACAATATGTTTGCCGCAGACAGGATGGCACCAAGGTGTGAACTGGCTGACATGTTGCTTTCCCCGCTCTCCGCCTGATCTTACATCACTCACTAGGTGGGGAGGGCCTACTAGTAAGCATCAGCTTGCTTTCCTTCAAACTGTGAATTAGTGGACGCTTATGTTTCCCCGATCATTGCTCTCGTCTTTCAGTTTTGTGCTCGAACTTCCTAGACAGACTGGCGCACATACTTGTGAACTGTCCGATCGCTTTTGCGTAATGTGGTCATCAGTTGGCAGTGAACCTGCCTGTCTTAAAAAAAAAAAATCGGTTTTGGTGGGGGGCATTGCCTGAAGCCAACTGGTTTCCACCTCACACAGTATTTTTTTAAATGCACCCCCCCCCTCCCCCATACTAAAAAAAAACTGATTTCTGAAAAGAACCTTTAGTGCCCAGGAGTCATGTCAGTTCATTTTAAAGTAAAGGAAGATCATTGTACAGATTTTGAGCCTGACCATGAGTTACTGTTGATTCTTCTCCTGGCCATTCGCCTAAGATCCCATATTTTCCTAGCTCCCGGGCGCGGGGATCTTAAACATAGACTACTGTACTGTAGTACAACGAGTGCACTCACATGAGATATATGATCTGTTTCTTTTTCAGAAAAAAAGGATCAGCCATCTTTGACTTCAAGATTTGAAGTTATTGTGAGAGAAGCTGAAAAGGCTGAACTTGCTGCTTTGGAAAAGATAGGAGCTGGTATTGTTTAAAAACATATTTAGTTCTCTACCAAGCTGTAGTGGTCATAATCTTTACTTTACAACCTGTATTTGAAAGCTTTGTCATGTAAAAAAGATAAAAAGGTTTTATGTACTTACTTAACAATTCCCTCGAGACATTCCTATTCCAGTATTGTGATCATGTATTTTCATTAACTATGATAATAATATATATAAATGCAAAACTCTGGGTTCTTTGCTGAGTCCAATCTCGAAAGCAGAAATAAGTTTAAGTCTTGTGTTCTATTCCATGATGAATGTTCTTTTTGTCTGTCCAAAATCATTGGTTTCCTATCGTCTGTTTCAGTTTCTGATCTACAGCAGATAATGCCCTCTGATGCCCTCCACAAATACAGTGTGATTATTACCAAGACGTCATCATTGCTGTCCCAACCCATTTTAGCACTGAACAACAATATCTTTTTACCCTACAATGGAGCTGGTGCGTAAAATACTGTGTTTGTTCTGTTGTATTGATTTTAGGGGTTTGAGTTTTCGAATGATACAGAAGGGTTAATGTACAGAGCTTTGTCAAATGTCTTAAATAACTTCAGACTCCCTCAGTGGGTGATTGGCATGTTCTGTGGTGTGGTTTGCTCCTTTTTTTCCTATCTAACATCTATCATCCTTATTTGTCCTCCTTTTTGTGTTTGTAACTCTCTTGTAACACCTTTAATCTTTGACACTTATATGGCCTAACTGTGTTTGCTAGAGTCTTAAAACGTTTAGGAAAACATAAAACGAAGGCTTTCTGAAATAGTCTCTGAACCTTTTTTTGTGGAGGAGAGGATGGGGTCTCTGGTAATTCAGTTCTGTTATATGTCATTTTCCCTTAATTGTACATTTGTCTGAGATTGCATGAAATCTATGTCATCAGGGTATAAAATTTCTTTTGAAAATGTACATTTTGTGTTATATTTGTACCACAGCGGAAAGTGCTTTGGCAGCTCAAATTACTCAACTCTTGAAAGATGTCATGAGGGAGTCTACTGTGGTAAAAAATCTTGAGGCTGCCCGAAGGATGAAAATAGAGAGGGTATGTATGGACTCACTACCTCTGATACCCAACCAGTCATCATAATTGATGGTTTAACATACACTTTTGTTTCAGGCAAAAAATATCTGCAACAAATGTTGTTTTATCTCACTTAAAGTTACAATAACATTGCTTGTGAGACTTTTTTCCACCTTGAAGTAAAATTGTTTTATTTATATGCATTATTCACTTCGCGTTACGTGGTCTTCTTGTCAAACATAATATTGGTTGCTGGTCTCTCACCTGTTCCATATGAATTTGACTCCTTTTTTTCTATCACTTTTGTATTTTCTTGTTGTCACAACTACAACAACAACGAAAGGGTGCTGAACAATGTTGAACATGTTTGATTCGATAAGTAAATATGTTGGGCTTTTATGAAGTGTTCATTGTGTATGTTTTTTTTTGTGATGTTACTTTTTCAGTTGTTGTTTTAAAGTATGATTCTGTGTAGCATTCTAAAATGCTTTCAGTCTCATTACCAAATATTTCTAAGCTAAGTGCTGTCAGCTCCTGACCTTGAGGCTTCTTGAGTACCTCAATATTATTATGTGTTTATCTGTCCAATTACAGCCAGATAAAAGTTCAATGAGATCATTTCGGTTTCATCCTGGGTACGACGTGACCTTCACCTTGATGGTGCCTGAGCCAGAGCGAGTCCGTGTGGACTGGGACATCGAGACTGGCATTAAAGGTATGTGGTTGTTGTGCTGTTTGCCTCAGTCCATGGTTGTCTAGTGTCCACGGGTTCCCTCATGCACAAAAGAACCAGCAGTAGACTTTTTTAATGTACTGTATTGCTGGCCTTTATTGCCATTTGACTTATTGGTATTGGGGTAAATCATTTAAAAACTACCATTTTAGAAATTAAAATGTTATCTGGCGCTGAGCTGCAGCTGACTGCTTATAGGTTCCATCAGCTGTTGTAAGTGTTTTATAATAACTTATGGTTTGGGAAAGTTAAAAAAAATAAAGTGCTTTCTGTTATCACCTGTGTAATTTCTTATGCCTCGGGGGAAAAAGGTCTCAGAAGTGCAAAGGCTCTTGTAAGTGAAGCTGTCTCAAGACTTATAAGTGGAGAATGTGAATATGCAGCTGGGTGCATTCATGTGAAGCTGAGAAAATGTAGAGCGAGTAGTGGCATGGATACTCAAGATATTTTGCCAGAGAATCTATTCCATGATGTCCCCTGCTAGATCTCATGTGTTGTCAGTTGTCGATTCCCCCGCTCACAGTGAAACTGACTTGTATAAATATATATGGTTGCTTTCCTGACTAGAAAATATTGCTTTTAGTTATGTTGTTATGGTTAGAGTGTCTTTTTTCTTCTCTATTGGTATGAATTGATTCGAGAGTGTATGCTCTTCATCGACTTTCAACTACCAAGGTGCTTTTGACATACACAATGACCTCTATTTTTCTGTCTATACCACAGGAGGATAGGTACTTCATCTCACCTATCTGTAGATGATTTCTAAAAATGGATCTAATATTAGCCATTGACCTTACCTACTCAAACTAGGAATGGAACCGGGTTTTTGGCTTGAGAAGCCAGCCCCTTTTTGTTACACTAATAAGTATGCTCGGTGCTTGGGTGATTTAAAATTTGTTAAACATACAGCAAATAATGAACAGTCCCAACTGCCACTTTCTTTTTTTTTGGTGTGTTTTACAGCGCTCTTTAACTGCATAAGATCATATGAGCACATGGGACACATTAAACATTTTCAGTTGGTAGGAAATTTTGAATTTTCCCCAGGTGGTGACCGAAGCCTACTCTTATCGATTTTAGACCGTCAAGGGATCTTTAACCTGTGCAACTTGCACACGGGACCTCCAAGATTTTTCATCCTTGTCCGAGAAGACTAGGTGTAGATCTTTCCTACCAGAAAATCAGTGGTGTGGCAGAAAGACAGCAGTAAGAAGGAACCAAGGAGTAGCAGTAGAAAGACTGCAGAAAGAGTCATGAGCCCAGAGGAGGGGGCAAATAGGTGACGGGATGGGGGCAGAGAGTGGAGACGAAAGTAGACGACAGACCATTGCTAGAAAGCTGGAAAGGAGGTGAAAGGAGACAATTTTAGGGAAGAAAATGTTTCTATTGCTACCCGATTTGAACCCGGGACCTTTGAATGAGAGGCGAACACCTTAAACCTCTAGGCCACAAGAGCCCCCCGCATTTTGTTTGATGCAATGTACTTAGATCAATTGTTTTTCACAAACTCAAAATCACATATTCTGCTTTTGTGTTTTTCAGATTACCTTCAACCACTTAAAGCATCGCTGGATGAGTACATTGATATATCAATTTCTTCTCAGGTAGTTGTGAAAACATAATGAAGTTTTCTTACCGAATAAACATTAGCTGATTTTTTTAAAATGTGAATTAATTAAGTGTTTTTATGTGGTGTGAACCATTTTGGTGTTGTTTTATATTCTGCAGTGTCTTGTCTAATTTTGACTTTAAAATATTGGGTGATGATATGTAGAGCTCTGGTATTCAGCATGTCAGCATGTGTATGAAATAAGCAAAAATCTCAAAACTAATAGTTTTATTCAGGCAAGGAAAAGGTTACTTTTTGATTGTATTGTGTTTAGAAAGATTAGGTGACTATATCTTGTAGTCATTCTTTTACCAAGACTTCTTTGTCTCTTCAGCAAATGCAGAGTGGGGTAGTAATGTAGATATGTGAGTCTTCAAGTTGTATTAAAGAATATTTATTAATATCTAAATATCCAGTTGAATGCTGAAGAAGAAGAATCTGCTTGTTTCACACGTCTAAGGATTTCACTATTTTTTATTTTATACTACAGTCTCGTAAGTTGATTGTATCGAAACAAAGCAGACCTGTGATTTTCATGGCAGAAATCTGTATTGTATTTTTTTTATTTTTTTTTATTATTTTTTTTTTTTGTCTTACTGATCATTTGAAAATGTGTTGGTTTTTTTTCTCCCCAGGTGCTTTATTTCATTGGTATTGGTGGTAGACCCAAGAAGGGAGATGGATTTTACTTTTTTCAGGAGCAGGATCTTCCTCACATCATCAACCCGTTGGAAAGCAAATTAGGTCAGTTCTAGCGTCTGCTTCATATTGTCACAAAGTAATTGGGTGGAGGTGGTGTGGGGTGGACTGTGGTGGGCACATGAAATGAAAATTTATTTACGGACTGTTCGCAAATGACGTCAGCTAAAATTTGACCAAAAATGACCCTCCCCTCCCCCCTTGTCATCTTCTTTTATCTTTCTCAGGAACCCCTCCCCAGCTGACGTCAACCAATATGCACTAGTACATTTAGATAGAACCTGTACAGGATGCATTTTATATTGACACCTTGGATCTTTATTTTAAATAAAACCTAGCTTCTAGCAGTCTGGGCTATGGGGAGATAACTGTTAAGTTTTGTTTTTATGACAAAGAAAATAATATGTGTCACGATGTGGTGGAATCAGGCGCTCGTCAATTTTTGAGCATGTGGAGTTATTGGTATTATCTTAAAGCTTGTTCAGTTGTCTTGCTATCAGTGAAAAAAATGCCCATCTATCTTGAATAGATGTGAAGATATTTGAGATTGAAGAAGGTGGGGTCGCCTGGTTTCAAAGGTAGAATGAGCAAGAAAATGGCCGCCAAAGTTTGGTTATTTCCATAGCTTGATAGTCTGTGGAAACTGAAAACTTCCATTCTTTGTGCCTATAAAATCATCCCAGAAATGAGTTCCTAATTGGATGACATTGGTGTTAAGCCAAAAAACGAAAATTCGATAAAAATTGCCGAACTGGCAGTTTACCTGGTTCAGTGAGATGGTGTGCTAAATTTCACTGTTTGGCCTTTTTGTGATTGTGGAATGATGGCTAGTTGGTATTTCACTTTTGAAAATATTGTTGCTGACAGCATATCAACAGTGACCATAATATGGTATATGGTTCTGATATTTTCAATAGTTTTGAACAATGTTTTTATGAAGAGTTTTATGGTTGTTATTTTTCAGGTTTTTTTCTGTGTTCCTGGATATCCCGTACTTTTTTAATGCTGGAGGAAAATATAAACATTTCCTAAGATTCCAACTTTGATGACCCATGTTCTCCGACAACAAAAAGCTCTGAGGCAGTCTTAAAAATTGTGATTTTGCCCATTTTTGAGAATCTGTAATTTTTCCTGCTATTAAGTACATGTGCCACTTATTTATAACTTTCATCTGAGTTATACTTTGAAGCTCTCTTTTCGCTTTATAAATTCATGACATAATCACTTGTTAATTACTCTTGATTCCTCAGGGTCCCATGCTTCGAACAACCCAGGAATGAATTTTATTGTTTACATCCCGACTGTGAACAAACGACCTCTGTTCATCCATGACAATAAAGGTAAATTTTTCTGTGGAATAAAAGTAAGAATAACATTATATTCCCAAAATTGTGGCTGTTTTCTTCTATTTTAAGGATTTTATGAAAAGGTAAAAGTACCACCTGTCATGTAGGCCTATGTTTGACTTTGAAGAATTTCATATGTGGATTATTATACTGCTAGATTTTAATCTTATACTGACTGCTATAAGAATTTTTTCGTTAAAAGTAGTGATCTATTTCTCTAATTTCTTGCCCCTTTTCAAACAAAACAGAGGAAAGTAAACCATACATGAAAGTAAGAGCATTATGGTGATGAAAAATGGAATTATTTTACAACTTTAGAGAGGTTGAAGTCACTTGTATTTCGTAGAAGTCCTGCTTAGGGCCACTTTCCTAGCAAATATATGGGGAGGGTATTTTTTTAGTTTTCAAATATTGCTGGGGGAGGGGGGGGGGGGGGGGGAAGAGGAGTGTCGGTTTTTCACCTAATCTCTAGGGGGATAGTTATTGTTCTGACCATGCTAATTTTGCCTCTTACTCTGAACTGCTTTTTTTCGGTGAAGGTGTTCCTGTTCCCAGCAATTCTTTCCTTAGTCCTCGATGGGGTGGTGTTATGATCTACAACTCGGAGAGCTCTGGAGTCAACTCGTCACAGCCCGATTCAAATGTGAATGTGGACATGCACAAAGTGATGGAAGTGTTCATCTCACAAATGAGACTGCTCTTGAATATTAACGCTCAGGTATGCACTCAACCTCTTTAATGTGTACATCCATAGCGTCTGGAGCATAATGTCCAAGTGGAAATTGTCAAATATTGTTCAATGATGTTTAATCACAGAAAAAATATACCGGCCACTATTATTATTCTCTTTGCCTTGTACAAAACTCAAAACTTGCTGTTTGAATTAAACACATCGGGAAGCTATTTTATCGGGTATCTCCGTTTAAAAAAAATTAATTTAATTCAATTTCAAGTGTTCTTTAAAGTTGTTTGTTTGCTCTGCCTCATGTTCGCCGCTAGTGATTAATTGCTATTGCATGTTCTCTCAACTTATATACAAAAATACTCTATACTTCCATTTCTTCTGTTACCCCCCTCCCATTTAAATATCAGGGACAGTCTACTGTTTGTTTTTGAACCTACTTTGCTTGATTGTTTCGTTAAAACACCAGGTCCCATATGTTTTAGGCTGTGGTATGCCATTTTTAAAGGAAGTTTCTATCATTTTTTATACAGACCAGAATTTTTAAAGTCTAGAATAGAGATAAATACTGAAATTTGCAAAAGCCACCAGCATAGGCGGGCTTGCTCTTCTGTTATTTCATCTGCCAGGGTAATGATCATAAGTGCATGTTGTATCTATGACAACTGATTGCAAGTGCCGTAAAACTCTTACTAAAACTAAAACTAAACTTGTTTTTCCGAATATGAGTGAGCTATGTTCATTTAAAATGCCCAAGATCATCAACATATAGTTGTCTGGAGCTAATGGGGTATGAACCAGGTTTTTAGGTGCTGAAGAAAGGCACCTTACCTTTAGGCTGACAATGCCCCCCACCACCACCGCCACCTCAAGGCCTGATGCTATCACATTTATTTACACAGTTGATGACAGAAGAACTGTCACATTTATTTACACAATTGATGACAGAAGAACTGTCACATTTATTTACACAGTTGATGACAGAAGAACTGTCACATTTATTTACACAGTTGATGACAGAAGAACTGTCACATTTATTTACACAGTTGATGACAGAAGAACTGTCACATTTATTTACACAGTTGATGACAGAAGAACTGCCTCATTTATTTACACAGTTGATGACAGAAGAACTGTCACATTTATTTACATCGTTGATGACAGATGAACTGTCACATTTATTTACACTGTTGATGACAGAAAAACTGTCACATTTATTTACACTGTTGTTGACGGAAAAACTGTCACATTTATTTACACAATTGATGACAGAAGAACTGTCACATTTATTTACATAGTTGATGACAGAAGAACTGTCACATTTATTTACACAGTTGATGACAGAAGAACTGTCACATTTATTTACTCTGTTGATGACAGAAGAACTGTCACATTTATTTACACAGTTGATGACAGAAGAACTGTCACATTTATTTACACTGTTGATGACAGAAAAACTGTCACATTTATTTACACTGTTGTTGACGGAAAAACTGTCACATTTATTTACACAGTTGATGACAAAAGAACTGTCACATTTATTTACACAGTTGATGACAGAAGAACTGTCACATTTATTTACACAGTTGATGACAGAAGAACTGCTGATTGTGCAGACAGGAAGTGCCCGTCTCCAGCAGTGGGAGCTGTCGGCCTGGCTACGCAGCCGTTGTGTGGAGAACCTGGCAGCTGCCACCCTCACTCTTCAGTCTCTGGCGCAACTGCTGGAGGAGATCGGCAACATTGTCATCAACGATGAGATAGGGAAAGAGGTCAGGGTCAAGACTATGTTTGCTCTTGGTGGACAAGATATTGTGTTTGGTTGATGGGTTAGGAGAATCATACTCAAATTTGAGTTGTTTTTAAAAAAAAAAATAGCCTGTAAGCATTTGCTCTATGCGTATCAGCTCTAAAAAAGGGGGGTGGAAGAGGATACAGTCCCATTGTTGCTGGGTGCGATGATGTCACATACAAACTTCTTGTTATTGGACGTTGGTGCTAATGGCTGCTCTAGTTGGCAGTAAATTGATGCCTCATTCAACAGGACTCTGTCAAACAAAGATTTTATAGTATCGGTATCTTGGTACAAATGGCTTTTGTTGCAAAATGGTTTTTGTTGTTGTGCACCTAACCCCGGTAACACCAAGTATCTGTGGGTCTATCTGAGTGTAGTGTTGGCTTACAACTTGGATGCATATTTTGTTTTGTTCTCTTTGCCTTCATTTTAAAATCTTTTAAAAAACATTTTAACTTTTTTTTCAATTGCTTTTATCTAGGTTTAGATCTCTTTTCTGTTTCATTCTTTTCCCTGTATGTTTATGTTTTGTTTTTGTTCATATATTTTTCTGATACTCTTGTCAGGTGGAATCGGCTGTGGCATCCATCAAGGACAGCCAGAGACAGTTGCTTCTTGGAGACCTGCATGCTGCCTTTTTGGCCTCTCGAGCAGCAGTAGAGGCCTCAGAGCTGGCATTCTTCCACCCGTCACTTCTAGAACTCCTCTATTTTCCTGAAGATCAAAAGTGAGTCATAACGGAAATGTTTGTCTAATTCATAAATATGCAGTTGACAGAGTAATGAGAAATAGTCTGTCTATAGTTGGAGAACTTATGAATGGCTTAGAGCCGTAGTGAGAGAAGGAAAATTAGTTATTTTTGACAAACCATTGGACAACATACTTGTATTATGAAAATACTGGAGAAAAAAGTAAACGCTGACCTGTAAAGTTGTATGTTTGACAACATCAGTGACTGGACCATAAGAATAAAGTTCGAGTAATTCTGTATGGCAAAAGATAGGGAGGGGTGGAGGCAATTGACGAGGATTCATCAGCAGCAACCATCAACCATAATGATGCTGACAGGTGACAAGGGACGTAATCCACAGATCATGTTGTTTATGTATCGTGGAGATTGATTGTTTTACAGTTTTGAAAGAGAGCCTATTTACTCAGCGTGTGCAAACATTTTCCGATGCAACTCTAATCCACTAATTAGACCAACTTCTTTGTACTACGGCCAGCATTCCATGCGGGGCGCCAGGGTCACTAAGCGGTCAGCACGTATGCAGTGGGCGGTCGTGGAAACATGTGCTTTTGCCATGAATACCATGGGGATGTGTTTATCTATAATGAAAATACTGCCCTATCTTTTAGAGCACTCACAAGCTTTCTATAAATAAATGTTATGAATAGCGAGTGGTTCCTCCCATTCGAATAACCCTTCTAGATGCTATTGTTGTTATGAACAAACCTAGATTCGAAAGGATAAAAAATAAGTCAATTTCTGAATGTTTTGCTCTCAAATTTTTTCCTTCGAAGTGCACAATAGTTTTCAAAACCATCAAATAGAATTCTATTTGTCAGGAAACAACATTTTGTGTAAAATCAAGCTCATTTGAAAGATTTTAGATTGAAAAATGGAATTATTGTTTCCTGGTTATCCTTTCGAGATCCTCATGTCTAAGTGGGTCAATTTGTTCAAAATTCATTGGATGATCATCTAGAGCTGCCAACTTCAACTGTTTTGAACTAAACGTACGCCTTTGTTTCGAACCAATGCAGACAGTTCTAGAAGAAGGTCACAAATACCCACAAATAAACGCAAACTGATGTGCACACATACATTTTGGTTGCAGAAACAGGGGACCCGCTGATACTCAGTGTTTGTAAGCTAAGCAGTGCCACGCCGATTCGATGGGAATGGGCTGAAACAGGCTCATTGGTGTACATAGAATTCAAGCCTCAGGGGATAGGGGTTTAATTACACTTTCTTCATTCAAGACAAAGAAATAAATGGCATTGAAACAATTGAAGTTGGGCTAACTTTTATTTTGCTTTCACGAAAAATGTAGGAAAAAGCAATTTCAATTCCTGCGAGGTCAAACTAGTGATTTTTACTAGTCTAGTATTTTGGGCTTCTGTGCATGTAAAGGATTTCAACATGTTCATCGTTTTGTATTTGTTTCCATTGTGCTTTATCTGTCTCAACATGGTGGAATTGGGTGCATGTCAATTTTTGGGCACATAGAGTTATTGGTATCGTCTTGAAGCATGTGCATTTGTCTTGCGTTTGGTGAAAAAAATACCCTTCTATCATGAGCAGAAGTCAATGTATTTGCGATTTAATGAGGTAGGAGTCGCCTGGGGTCAGTTAGAATTGGTGGAAAAATGGCCACCAGAGTTTTCTGACTTTCAGGTTTTAGTGTCCTTTGGAACTCTAAATGTACATTTCTTTTTGTTCCCTTGATCAATGTACTTTATAACATGGATAGGTTGAACACAGAAGACTCGAAATCACACATCCGTCGAACTGTGCCTGCAGTCCTGTTTTTTTTTCTTTTTCTTCTTTATCTTTGTTACGGATCCCTTGAACTACAGATCCCTCGAACTACCGAGGCCAGTGGTGATGAATTGAAGCTATCCATGTTATACTGTAATTCAGTAAAATCCACACAGAAATATGTTTTTAACTGAACATGAAGGTGTCAGGCTAAAAAAACCAAATGGATAGAAATTGCCCAAGGAGTAAGGAAATATTGGTTTCTTTGATTTCATTATATTATCTTTAACAAGCGACGGATTTTACCATGATATCACACATATTGTGCAGGTTGAAGTCTAGCAAGTAAAAAGAACCATACTTGTGAAGTTCAGCCATACCTTTCTTTTTGTGTGCATATTATGATCTGGTTGTGCTGGCTTTTTGTCTTTCAGATTTGCCATCTACATTCCATTGTTCCTGCCCATCAGTATTCCAATCCTCACATCTGTTCTGCATGCCATCAAGTTCTTCAGAAGACCTCCCAAAATCAAGTCGGAGTGACAGATTTTTCTGAATAGCTGCTGTGGTGCTGTTATTTGTATGTGCTTAGTTGGTTGAGAGTGTGACATGTATGGTCTTATATTGTTCAAGTTATGTCAGTTTTGTTAATGGTTGAATTTTAGTTATCGAGGAAATGTACAGAAGCCGATTGGGCAAAGAAATCCCAAAAGATGCAAAGACATTTGTTTGAGAAAATAAAGTTCCATCTTTCTCTTTATATTTTATGACTATGTGGCTGACTGCATGGTATGGTTCTGTCCTGAAAGACCTACATAAATTCATATTTTGTTAAAATATTTATTGACCTTGAAAGTCTTGGGTTATTGTTACTGTTGTATTTTAATAAGAGGTTGCAAGCATGTATTGCTGGTGAATCAAAAGACCTCCAGTTCTCATTGGTATAGAGTGTTTGTGAGAGAGAGTATCTTTTTCATTCCCGTCTTTCTTTTCAAAGATATTCCACACTTGTCTGAATGGAAGAACTCGCTAAATCAGTTATTTTTAGTTTAGGCTTAATTAAAGCAAAGGTATTTGCTTTGTATTTAATATCTTTTTTCTCATACTGCTTTTGTATGCTTCACTCCACTGTTAAAGGTTGCAGCTTTTAGATTGTGATATTGTAAATCTTTCATTACCTATTAGATCAGAAGCAAATTTCAAGTGCTCATCCAGAAGTTAGAGTGACTAAATTTTTCATCTTTTTTTAAACACTGAATTGCATCTATTGAAAAAATATATTTGCAGTGTATTGTCATGTTGACTGAGGAAGTTTATGCTGTAAGTGGGTTCTTTCATTCTTTTACCTCTAGCTTTTTTATATCCTTTAAAATAGTTTCTTTCATAATTTGATAAGTAGGCACCACGTCAGAGTAGTCCTACAGTGGATTCCTGCCCACACTGGGATACCGGGAAATGAAAGAACTGATGTTCTGGAAAAGAAAGGAGCTAGCCTCCCTCAGCCTGAAATTCCTACGAATTACACCACCTGCTGCCAAATGATCAAGTCAAACCTCAAGGAAAAGTGGATGAATGATTCGGCCACAGGTATGACAGGAAGGAAGATGTATGGTCACATGAATAAACCACTGGTCAAAGATCCAATCAATGAGTTGAGGAGGGGAGATTAATCCATAATCTTCCAACTTAGAACACAACATGTACCCCTCAACCAACATCTCAACCGAATTGGAGTAAAGCAGTCTGCTGCCTGCCCACTATGTGACTACCCCTCAGAGACTGTGGAACATCATCTGTTCTTCTGTAGAAAACTAACTGATTTAAGGTGATGTTTTCTTCCCAAGCTACCCCACACATCTAATTGCCTCTACTCCTCAAGACAACAATTAGAACAGACATGCAGCTATTACCGAATGGCATCATGCAGAAGAGTTAACGCTCAGATGCTACTGGATCGCTAACAACAACAACAGCAAATAGTTTCTTTTCTCAGTGTGTGTTTGTGTGGTAAAGTTTTAAGTGAATATTGATGCAGATTGAGAGGATATGTATACATATTGTAGAACATCGCCGGAGTGTTGTGAATTGATGAAATTCCTTTCACAAAATATGCTAACTATGCTTTAACTTTGATAAGTGCTGCTGTCACCTTCAGCTTGATTTGTTTGTCTTTGAGCTGCTGATGATGTTGTTGAAATTATTTATCTATCTGTGTCCTTTCAACTCCAGACTTGCCTCTGTGCATGTGTATGATTGTTAGTTTTCATCCATGTTATATTTTTCTAAATATTTTGAAGTTTGCCTTTGTGTCTGTTTGAGAGATGTGTGGTACTAAGGTGTTACCACCTTTTGCTGATTTATTGTTGTTGTTTCAAATTATTAATTTCTTTCGCAGGATATGTCTTGCTCTATCATTTACTTTACTTTTATTCTTTCTATCATCTATTCCTCCCCCTCCTGTAACAATTTTTTGTGTATGCTTTTTTCTAATTATGTTGTTGTTACTACATTGATTTGAAATAAAAAAGTACTTAAAGTACCTTGCTGAATTTATCACTTCTTTAGTTATTTAGGTGGTTATACAGGCTTAATCTGATTTCAATATGTGAGGCAGCGTGGTGGAATCAGGCTCTCTTCAAAATAATCATAGTGAAGAAACTTGCATTTTTCTGCAGGTTTTTTGAATTTGTATCAAATTTTTGTTTTTTGGCTCAACACCTTTCATGCCCATTAAAGAACTCATTTCTGTGTAGATTTTTCTTAAAAACGTTGATTAAAGACACAAAAAATGTAAATTTTCAGTTACCACGGACTCTTAAGCTAAGGAAAAAACTAATCTTTGGCTGCCATTTTCTCACTAATTTTACCCCTGAAAACAGGTGACCACCACCTCCTTCATTTGCAAATATCTCGACTTGTATTCAAGATATATGGATATTTTTAAAATTCAAATAAAGACAAGTGAACAAGCTTTGAGGTGATACCAATAACTCTACATGCCCAAAAATTGACGAGTGCCTGATTCCACTACGCTGCCTCACATATATGAATAAGTCACTTGCAAAAAGACTTAGTGGGGGTTGGCGGGTGCTCTGGTGTGGTTTGCTCCTTCTTTCCTATCAAAGAACTATCGTCCTGATCTCTCCTCCTTTATTTTTTGTGCTTGTTACTCTCTTGTAACACCTCTAATCTTCAGCACTTATAAGTTATATGACCTTATTGTGTTGCAAGTGCCGTAAAACTCTTACTAAAACTAAAATAAAAAGACTTAAGTTTCGGCATGATCTTTTTCTTTGAAAGTTTTTTGAAAGTCACTGTTTTCTTTGGGTGAAAGTTTTTAAAAATGTTTACTTACTTTTTTTGTTAACTTGTCTTTTCTGACAACCTTTTATTAAGTGAAAATATTTTTACAGACTGTTCTTAAGTAAAAGAAATTGAATGTGACTTTTTGAAATTGAATAATCAAGAAATATAATTTTCCACCTTATTTGAGAAAAAAAACAACTGAGTAAGACTGTTGAAACAAAGCTGCACACAAAGGATGAAACTACCACAGTACGTTTACAGAAAACATGTTTTAATCTGGAAAAAGGGCTTTGCTGCTAATCATTGTCACCATAAAGATGATCCATTTAGAAAAGTGTACAGTGTATCAGTCATACAGCTGCTGGCTCACAAGTGAACCAAATCCTGCTGTCAGATTGGTGGGCTACGTCTGAAAACTTTTATTTGGAGTTCCTAAATCTCACTATCAACTTATTGTATGAAGTATAACATTTGTTGTGCTTTATATAAACCTTTAAATACTTTGATTGGTATAAATCTTGGTTTGAAAGTTACCATCAAATGCCACCAAAGGGTCATAACTCAACTTTTTTCACAAGGGTACTCAAGCCCAAGCCCTTTTCCAAGTGACCCTCCCTTGGTGTAACCCCCGCTATACCGCCAGTCCAGTGTACGGAAAGGAACTCCTATATAAACATGATACAGGTATCAAAAGTGTAAAAATATGGAAATTAAAATTGAAATTAACGTTTGAAACTGAAGAGCTCACAAGAATATTAAAATTATACGATTGTTAAAACGCGCAGCGCAATCTTAAAATTTATTGTTGAAAAATATTGAGACCATTATTTCCACCGTGCGTTTAAAAAGTTATAATAATAATTAAGTTTTGAGCAAAGTTGGAATAAGTTTAGGCGGAGATATTTTCTCGATTACTTTGGGGGGCGGACATATAATAATAATAATATGAATTCAAGATTTGTTTTCAATCTCCGCTCACTCAGTGACGTTGTCTCGAATAAGAATTTTTTAAATTGATGTTCCTAATTGTGGGGAAGTTTTTCGTGTGCGGCCTCAATTCTATCACTACGTGGTTCTTTGTCTCACTTTGATTACCCTTCCAAACAAGTCAGCCTTCGCTCTTAGACAGCACAGTTACTTCACTCTAAGGGCCTTGACAGACGAGCTACAATTGTCGCGCAGTAAATTCTGCGCAGAAAGTGTCGCTTACTTTGGTGTGGCAGCCACTCGGGGCGACATTTAACGCTACTGCTCAGTTCAACATGGGCGATCGGAGAGTCAGAGTGGCTTTGGTCCTGGTGACGAAAAGATTCTTTAAAAAAACAAAGCGACAAAGAAGATTTTGGGTTCATCCCGTTGTTTCTCACAGATTACTAAGAGGACCGTTTTACATGAAAAACTTCAAGAAGATGAGTCCAAATTCTCCAGACATAATTTTAAAAAAAAATTTGTTTTTATATTCCTCACTTGTTTTAGATCTATCCCAAATGATGTTTCTGCTCTTTATATCCAAAACCAAACGCTCTGTTTCGTGGAAAGAAGACATGGTTGCACTAGGAATATTGTCGTGTTGAATGAGAAGCGAGAAAAAACACAACTATTGTAGGAATGTGCCGGCAGTTTATACATCTCGTGTATCCACGTTCCTTGAACTGTGGGCGACACACGTCTGCTACGCCGGGACTGAAAATAACGCCTGTCGCTCATGTGATCGCTCCCATTGTCTACAGTGTATCATCAGACTGCAGTAATTTCTGCTGCATTTTTTATATCTCGTCTGTCAAGGCCCTTCGACTTGTTCTACCAGATTGCTCACCTCCTTAGTTACGCCACGCACTCCCAGCTGGTGCTCCAGCGACATCTCGCCAACAAAAAACATGACCTTTGTGAACTCTGAACCTTTTGAAAAGGTTCACGAAGGGTTGAACTGTACACATTTGTGTTAAAAACAGTGGCAATAACAAAACTATGCCCTCATTTAAATAAACAGATGTTATTGCTTGAGGGACGTTGACGGAAAATACAATCCCTCGCTTCCCCTCCCCTCATCTCCCCTTCCTACCCCTGTCCTGTCGCACATGTAGGCCTATGTGGTATCGAAGGTTTCTATTAATCTAACTGAATGATTCAGATAAGTTAAAGAGTCTACTGGCTTGTTGCTGATATTCAAGAGAAAAATATATATACTTCTCTCGATTCCTCACCCCCTCCACTCTGTCTGTCTGTCTGTCTGTCTGTCTGTCTGTCTGTCTGTTTGTCTGTCTGTCTGTCTGTCTGTCTGTCTGTCTGTCTGTCTGTCTGTCTCTCTCTCTCTCTGTCTCTCTCTCTCTCTCTCTCTCCCCCCCTCTCTCTTTCTCTTTCTTTCCCTACTTTTAGAGGACATCTGCGTGCCTCGTGTATCTTGTTCTGTTGATTTCTCACTAACGTTTACCTTAAAGCCCTAAAAAAATGTCAAACATCAAAACATTATGTGCACAAACGATATTACATGAATAACGCTAAATCACTATGGAAAACAAATTCAAGAAATCTATGTAAATGAACTCACCACACCTACTCTTTTTTTTACATTTTTAAACACGATCTTCCTCAACAAGCATTCAGTATGTGACATTCATCCTTTTGCTATCTTAGATCATATGGAAATACAATGTATTGCGAAGGGCACTGCCTGAACAGATTCTTGATTTTGCTAATTTTAGTGAATTTGCTTTTGTATTCAGGCTTGTTCAGCACAAACGAGTAAACTGGTATCAAAGATAGGGGTAGTAGAGAAATTTTGCTGGTAAGGGGTGATAACTTGACATAATGTCTATTTCGAGTTCGCCAAACTCCTTAATTTTGCTCTGTCAAAAGTACCGACCTGTGTGAGTTGTGTATGAGTACGAGTCCGAACCTACACTTGCAACAAATAACTGGTGCCCGCTATGTGTCTCCCTATCTGCTTATGGCTTGAGCTGTAGGCTAGGCCGTCTCAGAAAGCCTAGGCTGTTGGCCAACGAGTGGAGGGGAAAGGCTGAGTTGTAAAAAGTAAGTAGTTGTTTTTCTTGTGTTGCCTGGACTGTGCGCTATGGACCTATCTGCTTTCGAAATGTTCTCCGACCTGAGTCGCAGGACATGACCAAGGAGCGAGTTTATGCTTACTCAGTAGGCTATTACTATTATTGTTGCTGCAGTTTTACAACCTAGGAACCAAGGTTGCGGCATCTGGTCAGTCAAGGCCTCCGAGAAACAACATGGCAGAAAAGAGGAGGAATGCAACAACCCCCTCCCCCCTTTTCTTTGCTCTCCATCCCTCGCAAATGAAAAAAACCCCCATACACACAAGAAAAGTGTGTTACTCCCCCACCCCCCCCACTCCCTTTCTCGTTATTACCCCCCCTC